ATTATAGATATTCGTATTTCATATTTTCTGAAACTTAGGTAGGTATATATAAAAAGTACTAAAAATTAAAATATTGATGATGCATTTTTTTTTGATGAATATTTCGTACCATCATATTGATAAAAGATGTTTAGCAATTAAAATGGTGATGTACAGAATGTGCAAAAATTATTGATAATACGTATCAGAATTTTTTATTGAAGTGAAACTTCTACACAGGGGGTACGAAAGAAAGATTATCGTCCGTCGAGGTCAGCTGTAATGGTCTAAACTAGAAATTATGGTTTCTATAGTAATAAATAATAATTTTTGTACTATAATAATAATTAATTAATTTCAATTGAAATATTTTTTTAAATTTTATCTTGTATTAGGTACCTAATATTCGACCGTAATGCCAATCTCGAAGGCGATTTATTTATTTTTTTCGTACTCTCTGTAAAGACTAAAGAAGTCTCACTTCAACCGCGGAAATTTGCAACTGTCACATTTTTTTTCTACAGTATTTGCAATCTCTTTCCTACTTGACTATAGGGTGATTATATTTGGGTGTTATCGTTGTGCGATCAGGCTCGATGAGCTGTTTATTTCCAATCGTGAAAATCATAAATTTATATTTTAGCATATTATTGGAGTTTGAACAATATTAGTCCTTGTAACTATACACGACCCATCAGAAAAATCGTAAATACTACACAAGAAAAGTAGGTAACGGTCCAATATGCGACCTACACACTGATTTACGGTCCAATATGCGACTTACGTTATAAATGTAAAATACAATTAATTTGTTATGAAACGTATTTNTATATTTTAGCATATTATTGGAGTTTGAACAATATTAGTCCTTGTAACTATACACGACCCATCAGAAAAATCGTAAATACTACACAAGAAAAGTAACATTGAAATAATTTTTGGGATTTTAGTTTCAAGTGCATTGATTAATGCCGAAAACAGCCTATCTACTACATGTTTTACATACTGCACTATAGGTATGAAAATACACCGTGCGTATCTGCGTGGATAGAACTTAACAAACTGTGTGCGACTATACACTTCGGTAGTCTGAATTACCTATTATAGCTATATTAAACCTATAACGACACGGTGAAGCGAAATAAGCTGTATCCTTTAATGGCTTGTTTTGCAGCGATTAAGTACAAAACTCCGGTCAGACTTGCCCCCCACACCATTGTATACGATATTATAATAATGTAGTGCACGTCAAAAATCCTCCGCAGACGGCCACCGTGAACAATATATTTATACGTAAAATACGCACACTACAGAGATACATGTATATATATATATATTATAGGTACCTATATATAGATTGTACGCAGATACACGTGTGCGTATAAAATGTATAGACGGAGCTATATATCTATATGCTCGTGTGTATAATATTATTTGTTCGGCGTGCGAGTCGTGTGAATTGGAAATCGCCACTGACGCTGTTTTTCGCGGCTTGTACAAACACCGGTGACGTATATAAATATATACATATATATACACACATACACACGGACAGCATCGTATTAAATATACCCCCGGACGCCGGTACACGTGCCCCGACGTTTTGTAATCTTTTGTTGCACGTGGACACCGCCGCGACACACCATATCCCATCCCCGCGGCGGCGCTTAGTATAATATTGTGCCCACCCGAATGTGCGACCCGGTCGTATTATCATTATTGCTATACGACGCGCATGTACCCCGGCACAATGAACGTTATTTGCACCCGTAAACAAAAACCCGGTGAAATTAGCCCCGGCCGTGTTTATATTTCTCCCGAAAACGATGATACGGCGGTCCATTATGTTATTACTGTGCGTTATATTATGTTGTATACGGCCGCGGACCTTTGGCCGACGACCCGCCACCACCTCCCCTTATCGCCCCGCTGCCGGTTTTCGCGGGCGCATTAAGTGCAGTAGTTGGTGAAAACGTTCTCACCGTTTACGGGATTTGTACACACCGCGCCGCGGGCAAAATGTTTATATTACATTATGACGTGCGTATTTGCTACGAACAATTTATTCGGGATTCAACAGTTTGTGACTGACTACTTATTATTATTAATATACAGTACAATACGTGCCAATGTATTCTGGCCCAAGATTGTTCCACGAGTACCCATGTATAACGTATATAAGGTTTAAAAAGTATGGGTACAGCATAATGAGAGGTACTGTTATGGTATCAAAATATGTGACCATAATGCTCCTGTTGTGGGTTAAAATTTTATTTTGTAGAAATTAATGGATAACAATAATTTACTGATCAAGTGGTTAAAAAATAATAACAACAAAAACACAATTATTGATTAGGTAATATATTAGTTACAGGTACAAACGGTACCTAAAGAATTTCACTAATTTTTTTATTTTTTTCACATACAAATGGGAAGGGGGGTAGAACAATAACATCAATATATATATATATATATATATATATATAGGTAATAGAGGTTTATAGAATAAACTTAATCTGACATTTCAAGGGGATGATCGAACACTAGACCGCCCTTACCTACGTCCTACGCCCGGTATTTGGGTCATCGGTAAAGTAAAATATATATTATTATTATTATTACATTAACATTTTATTTTAATATGCTTTAAACGTACTCGGTAGAACTACTAATTGCCTAGTCCAATATTATTGACATCAAAATCCTGCCACTTATTCCCCTGTTTGGTTTTAAACTGTCACTAATACATCGTACCTGCAACAGTGATAGACAACGTATTAATAGCTACCATATACCACATAACAATATACCTAATATAATATAACGTCAATCGATACACAAAAAATAAAATAACTTTTTAAAATAGTGCAACATTTTGTCATTGGCACAGACGTCTATTACCTGTTGATTAAAAGCTACTAGTTTCACGTACAACGGATTAAATAGCCATTTTTTTTTTCTAAAACTTACTGGACAAAAAATGTAAAAAAGAGATGTGGCCACGTGGATCCCTAATCTAACTCTCCAGCGGCACTCACATCTCCTACTGCACTTAGCATCAGAGAGTTTAACTTTCGAAGAGCTTATTTAGTTTCAACACATCTTTCGATTGACGACGCTATCAGGCTCATAGGCGTCTTAGCTATTTTTTCGAGTATCTATTTAAATACACTAATAGTTTGTACTCTTGGCAACGAATTGAAAAAAAATAAGGATAACTGTGATATGTGTCCTTCCGGGATCATAAAGTGAACTCTCCATTGTCCTCGGAATTGGGTGGCATAGAAATCACACGAATAAGTGAATTCTACTATAATTTATACCTATATCATCAGGAACATGTGGATGAATAACGTATAATGACTGAGGTGCAAAAGTATGGTATAATACTGCAATGCAACGAGTAACTGTATGCATATATTATATGAAATAACACATTTAATATAACACATGTGTTTGACATTTTTATAATATGCAATTAAAGTACTAACATAAAATATTCATAACGAATGAATAGAGACCTAAAGACTAAATAGTGTTGATAGTTGAGTCTTCCTAAATCAATAGGATAAATATTAAACTAAAAAATTGTACATTATAGAATATAGTATTAGTATACTCACCGAAGTGTGAATACAAGCAAACTTTTATCGGATCATTTAAACATGCGATGAGTTTGCCACGTGTGCATGTATACAATAATAATGAGACAACCTTACAATTGATAAAATTTGCTGGTTTTTTCGCCATTCGTCAGCCGATCGTACATATTAGTTATTACGCATTGAAAATATCGTGCTCCCGGCGTAGTCACAACAAGGGTTGATTTTTACTATTATTTATTCCGATCGCATAAAACGTTCTCGTGCGTTGACGATGTCACGGTTTTTGTCACTATACGCACGAAAATCCGCGTGACATCCATGTACCCAGAGCATAATATGCAGCTCATCCCACTCGACGTATATATAATATCATAGAACATAACAATAATAATAAAAATAATAATAATAATAATAATGCATTATCTTTTGTCGAGTTTTACGGGCAGCTGCTATTGGTGTGTAATGCGATTATACCGCCCGACCGTCCGGGGCCCGAAAAAAACAATGACCGTTGCGCCGAGGACGACTGCAAAATACGCTCTGCTGATGCGTCGTCGTCGGTGCGCGTTGTCCGTCTATATGTGCATATCGCGGGGGGACCGCCACCACCTGCAACCAGTGATGTCCCTACGCCATCGGACGCGGCGGGGCGCACCTGTTTACCGACTGTTTATGATATTATACATGTCGTCGTGTACAACCCGAATCGTGAATACGAATACGAATTTTGTTTTGTTTTTTTCATATTTTCAACCCTCCCCCCCATCGCCGGATGATCATTACAATATAATATAGTATAGTATGATATAGGACAGCAGTATTTTCGACTCGTCGCTGTGCACCATCCGCGCTACCACCGATTAGCCCGGATCTCGGATCGCCGGCACGTACGCGGAAAAGATATTTAACAAACTCATGGCTTAAAATTCAAAATATCCATTATCACCAGAAACAATCAGCTGGTTTATTATTTTATATTATTTTTTTTTACGTCCGTGTTCTACTACTACTCAGTCGAGTGTCCGTAAAATATAATACTACTGCACTTAAAAGCATGACTCGGAGGTTTAATTTTGTTTTTATGTCCATCATTTTATCGCTTTTTATATTTACTCGTCAGTCGACTAGATTTTCATTGTCTTGTAGGGCTGACCAACTCGAATTCGGTGGTTTCGTGTATAATGTTTTAGACATTGACGGGACTTCAGGACACGCTGCACCCAGTGCACGTACTGTATCCGCTACACAGACAACATTATATTGTGTGAAATTACCTTTTATCTATATACTTGAAAATGTGCATTAGATAAACCTAAAACTATAATAAGAAATAATAATTAATACGGTTTTATAAAAAGTAAGTAAAACTGATTTTTTACACTATGAATTGATAAATAATAAATTCTGAATTGTAAATAATTGTAATAATTGTTTTTTTTTATTTAATCTATTAAATAACAATAAATGGTTTTGCCAAATTAACACAGTTACAAGTCAACTTAAGTCTTAAGCACATTCAAAATAAATACAATACAATTGTGATGAATAAAATATTAATAATAATATATCAATTTTTTTATTATTGGTGTTCGTCTAGCTGTAATGAACTGGCGTCGTCAGATATATTGTTACAAAAATATGACGCTTGCATTGAGTACAGTCGGTCGATAGGGTTTGATCCACATCGAATAACAGTCTCCTGTGATACGAAACCGCCATAAATATGTTTGGGTATCGTTATATCTGGTGTTAAGTAATTTGGTTCTTGGCGGTTGTTCAAGTCTAAAAAAAATATTTATGAATTATAATATACAATAAATAATAATATAGGCAAGTATCTAAACAATTGTACGACTATGAAAGTAATTAACTCAGTCATTAAAAGTAAGGTTCATTTTTTCCCCATTTAAGTTGACTTATAAAATAGACGGTAGCTATAAATAATACTGTCAGCCAGATAAATAATTAGTCAAAGTTATCAATATAAAAAATTAAAACTAAAAATATTTATTCATATAGGTAAAATAAATATTTAAGTAAAATAGAAGTTTGTGTAACAGATAGTGAAAAAAATATTTGGTACTTATAACAACACATGATTGGTATCATTTTTTTTTTTATTCATATCATAAAAAATATAAAACACTGGCAATATCTTTTTGCCTGTTTTTATCAAATTGGCAAATTATGTAATCATTGTTTAATCCATACAATATTATTTGTTGTCTTATTTCTATTTTATTCTTGTCTCTCTGTTAACATAAATTATTGTTATTTAAAAGTCTGCATGACAAAAATAAATGAAATATTTTATTCGCACGAGTCACGGGTACACTATAATTATATTTAGTATAAACATTTGAAAATCTTACATGAACTTTAATATAAGCTATTTAAAATTGATAATTTTAATAACAATATAATTTATTTCCAAAGATATGCAAGTAATTATTAATTACAAATTAAAATTCTTTTGAAAATATATAAAGTGAAATTAGATCGGTACTCAATAACATTATTGAAAAGCTCAAAGAGATCAAACAGCAATAAACACTGGGTGACAAATATATTTAATTTCAAACAGTCAATGAAATTTGAGCGGTTGTCTCAAATATCATTTAAGAACTTAATGAAAAGTTGTTCAAGATGGATAAATTAGTTAATTTATTGTTGTCTAGTTCTGATACAGCAATACATAAGAAAATTAAGTAGTTTTATAAAAAAAAAAAATTGATACCTAGGTGGGTACTAGAAAAGACAACAACAATTTTTTTTTCTATATTAATTTAATATACCTAGCTATTTAACCATAAGTATATATAGTATGTAACAGATTTCTTTTAGTTTTGATAACAGTATCATAATAATAAATATTAAATTACATATTTGTATTATCTTTATTTTTTCGAATTTCAATAAAATGTTACAATAATTTCTTTGAATATTTATGACAAAAGCAAAATTACTTAAAGTAAATGTTTTATACTATCTATTACGAAATATATTCCTTCAATATTTTCTATATAATAAAACGCTAATAACGTTCCATTTGTCCAATAAACGAGTACTAAATAAAATGTTCTAAATGTAGATACCTACTCGAATTGCACATAGTATTACACAACAGAGATTCATCACGTTTAGGTTATATATAACATTATAACTAACATAGTTTAGGAATACAAGTAATACAACATCAGTACGGACCAATTATTTAAGTTATGACTTATGATGGTATAGAGTTAGGTATGACGATAAATTAATAATTTGAGTTTGTTTAAACTTTGGTGGTTTGGTTACATTATTATTATCTTACCTACACTGTTCGTCAACATTTGCAATCAAATGGTGTTTTTAAACGTATAATTTTGAAGGAACTTACAGAAATTACTGAAATATAATGGTTATTAGATTCGAAAAGAATTAAAAATATTTAACAAATACTATTTTAATACATATATTTTAATTTTGAATAATATTTAAATACATTTAACAAGATTGAAAATCGTTAAAGTATTTTTTCAAAAATCTTCGTACCAAGATTGTGTTTGAAAGTCTACGTTCAATGGAAAGACTAATTCAGTTAATAATGGTATAGCAAAATGTTCAACTAAAAATAAACAAAGTAAATACTATAAAACGGTTTAAATTTTTTGAATATCATATTAGTATCATATTATGTATTGCCGCAATAATATTAAGAACTATATGTCTATATAACATATTTTTCACTACGAATAACCTATTACAGTACTGTGCCATTAACTGTATGATTTTTTTTTTCTTTGCTATCTATGAATTGTACTTTAAATCCTCCAAGGGAAGATACCTACTGGAAAAATAGAAAAAAAATATTGTTGCAATATTTGTGGATTTAAATTATACAATTCATACAATTCGTAACATTTAATAAATATCTAAATTACTTAATACTGTAAAATAGTGTATATTATTATTATGTATCTTTTAATAGATTTATTGTATGACCAACACATTGTTGTATTAACCATTTGGAAACATAAACCATACAATTTATATCTACCAATCTATTAATAGTTTAAATGCAATAACAATTAGGACAAAATATGTCAAAACGAGTATTCTTTGCAACTGGCCTGCGACTGAGGAAAATAAAAACTAAAAGAGAAATAAACGTCATTGTTACGTCTATATTTGTATAAGCTAGAACTCGTCATTGGCGTGCACGCCTGAGACTACGGGGAAACGAGGTGTCGTATGTGGGTGTGTGTGTTTGTGTGTGTGTGTGTATGTGTGTGTGTGTGTGGAGGTCACACCGCAGGAAGTCCCCGCGGGCGTTAATACGCACGTTTATTATTTTCTTCTCTTGGCAAAATGATCGGAGGTTAGGTCGACGGAGAGGGTGTGGTGGCGTCGGGGAGTGTACGCGTGTCACCCACCCGCGTCTTTATTGGTCACTACCACCCCTCGTCTACCACTATGGGCTACGTTTCCCCCTCTACAAATCCCTTTGACAGCTATAAAACCGGTGGTGCGGGGACGAGGGATTATCCCCCCTGTTCGTATATAGCCTTCGATCACAGCGGGCGCGGGTTTAATATTAAATTCTTCAGACTAGGACGGGCATTATAAAGGGAAGTGTGGGGTGGGGTTAAGGGTTTTGTATGGGAACCATTACAAATAACGCGGGAGCTTTAAGACGCCAGTGCATGCTGGGGAGAGGAGAATCTTCAGGGGAAAGTCGTTTCTTCCTTTTTTCCCCTTTTTCCTTTTTCTTTTCTTTTTTTTTCTCCCTTTACTCTATACGCGTACTCCCCTTTAGCTAAATGCTTTCTAGGTCTTGGCTTTTATATTTGCAACCGAAAGAGCAGAAGGGAAAATTCAGTTAGTGTATATATATATATTATATATAGCATCATCGCATCGCATCAGGGCGACGAATATATACCACCAAGACCGAATTGTCGATATGACTTTCGTCGAAATGTATACCTACCATTTATTTATTTTAATTATAAATATATACAAGGACTTAAGGTATATAGTTATTGATATAGTAACTATAGCTATACATGTTATTTGTGTTCATAATGCTTACTTGGACAACAGTATGTCCCAAATTAAAAATGGGTTTTTTTAAATCTAAATTTTGTGTGATTCATCAGTCATCATAAGTAATATGTACTTTGATTTTATAATTTCAAATTAATGCATGTAGAATGAATGGAAATTATTTTAGTTTAAAAATATAACTAATTTTACTTAAATTTGTAGAGTAAGTTTGTTAGCAAATTATTATATGAAGTGTAGGCAAAATAGATAAGTATGAGGTACCTAACTGTAACAATATTTTATAGTTGATAAAATAATTTAAATACATTTAATCTAAACAAATGAGAAAAGTTGTCAATATCATAAATAATAAAATGAATACAACTTACCTTGACCAAATATACCAAAAGGCTGTTGTTGTAGAAACGAAGGCATGGAATCTTGTTTTACAACCGCAAGAGATTGGTGTCGTATGTGAAAAGGCTCATGCATTTGTTGCTGAGGTTGTCGATGGGATTCTTGTTGAGTCGTTTCAAACCTTCCGGATACACCATCCTCGCAACCATCAGAACCTAAACAATTATTTTATGTAAAAAAGTGCACAGGTCTTTTAAAAGTACCAAAAATAAAATACAGTTTTAAATAATAATTATAAAAATATTCAAATATAGTAAGTACATTATTTTGCAAAAGTTTAAATAAGAGAGAAGATATTATACATGTGGTGACACACTTAAATAACACTTAAAAAGAGTTATTTAAACAAAAATAATAAAATAACTTTTTAGATTCTGAGCGGAGCGATGAATGTATTGATTTTACAATGATGTGTATTTTATTTGTGTCTGTCATCACGGTTTGGGGCAGTAAAAGTGCTTTGATTATCTTCAACAGCAACTCTTCTGGTAGTAAATGAATCTAGTTGGTGCATTCGAGAGGTAAAAATTAAAAACTCCCAATAGTTTTCAAAAGCGACAGGAAAAACAAACAAAAAATTAGGGAAAAGTGGGAAAAATTTTCACGCAAAACCAGTTTTCGAAAAAATCGATTTTGGTTTTTAGTGTAACTCTAAAAAAACGACCGTAGATACATGAAATTTTTACTGAATGTTTGAGTTAAAATTCTCTATACACCATAATTTTCAAAATATACTCATATTTGACTCCTTTGACTCGTTTTGAACTATTTATAGGCATATGAAATTTTTGATTACCTATTACCATTGATTATAAATATAATCAATGCTATTACTTATTACTTGTGTTTTTTTAAACTAAAGTCAATAAAAAATGTTTCACTCGGTCAAAAAACGCGAAAATGTAATAAAAGGTTCCTCGTAAGTTGTTTTTAGTGGAAATTAAAAAACAAATTGTGCGTAAATCCACAATAAATTTTAAGCTCTTGAATTTTGAATTTTGACAAAATTCGAAAAAAACAAGAAAATTAGCAAATTATTTTTAGTTAGAAATTCATAAAAAAAATTTATTTTCACAACGATTTAAAAATTTAAATACAAGATTCCTTATAAGTCTGCCTACTTTTATCAATAAAAAAATTCTACCCGAAAATCAAATTATGAGCGCTTGAAGTTGAAATTTTTACATTGGATATTCACCCTATTTCTCATGTAGTGAATTTCTTATATAATCAATTCTTTACTTGATACAATTTTTACTCGTTTTGAGATTTTCTACCGGAAAGTCAAATTAAATTTTTATGAGTGTTTAAAGTTGACATTTTTACAACATTAGATATTCGATTCCCTAGTGTAACGATTTTCTTATTTTGTTGTAATTCAAAAACGAATAACTGTAGACACTTGAAATTTACGCCATACGTTTATTTTATCAATTCAAATACTTGAAAAAAATTTCAAGTACTGATAATTTAAGAATAATATTATGAATAATCCTAATTCAACTTACTGGTTACCGTATTAATATTTAATAATAAGTAATAACAGTATAAAATATCCTAGACTGACATACCGTATCCGCTCAGAATCCTTTTTCGTATGCACTGATATTATATGATTATTATCATTAAATTCAAATAAATGAAGTTATATCATTTAATATCATCCATTACAGCTACCTTCTAGACAATGTACAGCAGAGCGATATCCACTCGCTTATTTTAGAGTTGTATCACTTATTTTACTTACTAAATTACACTGAAATAGGAAGTTTAATTGCAATTCACAAATGTATTACAATGTTTTTTTTATATTAAATCTATGAGAAACATACACAATACAAATGTATCGTGAAATGCGTTGTGTAACTGTATAAGAACTGAAATAGCCATTTTGGTAGGTACCTATCTTATTTTTATACTCTTATGGGAACTTCAAATGTATCATTTTTAATCTATCTACTACTATGTCTGCTTTTCCCGAGTAACATTTTCCTGATTTAGTTCTAAACATGCGTACGCATTAATATTTTCGGGGAGACAAATAAGTATACTATGATGTTGGTAACTATTAAATGCATTGTGTTATAAAATGTTTGTCAAAACCTCGTAAGCATCATGAATTAAAAACCAACAATATAATTTGTGTCTTCTGTCAATTACATGATAAGATGTTTGTATGTTTGTATATTAAGTTAGTGATCAAATCATATTTGAAAAACGTGCATTAATTAAACAACAGGATTAGATATACATTGACACGATCATACACGTATCTATATTTTACAATTATAATTTATAATTTATAGCTTAAATTATTCATTTTCTATCTAATCACTCATTTTGTATAACTCATAACTTCCACAACATAAATATTGTTAAGACTTTATGATGTTACACAAAGAATTATCGTCATCATACAAATTCATTCAAACTCAAAGGTATTAACTAGAGATTAATTACATTTTAAATTCAATAGCACTTTAAAATTATCTACTTAATTACTAATTATAAAACTTTATGACTGGAATTTTATGCTTGTTATTTGTTTTTAAACGATATTGATGTGTATACAATTATATACACTATATTTCATGAATTGATAATATTGTTTTCGATTATTTGATGTTGGGATAAATTATCATATGATACAGGTGATATACATTACACATGATGTGAACTAACTTAGAATGATAAAATTTGGTGTATCTTTTGTATGTTAGTAAATGAAGTAAAGTAATAAATAGATAGCCGAAAATAAATACGGGATTGGGGTAGGAGGTTTCTTCGGCCTGCAAATCGACAGAGGGTGGGGCATCTTGGTTTCCTTGGTAACACGTACGACCCTTGTCTTATAGTTCACGGCAGTGGTGGCATAACATCGGCTCTAAATTCCACATACATACCTAGAATTTCCGTTTGGGAGATTTTGAAAACTTAAAATTTTAAGTGCTCGAAAAAACTAATAGAACACAATATAACACATGTATTATTATGCATACATGTATACGTCACCATCACAGTATTTAAACAACATTTTAACCATTAGGTCGATATGTAATGTATTAATTATTATAATATTTATATATTTATAGGTACCTATAAACAAATAAACATAATAGGTACTAGTGTAGGCATATTATATAATATTATGATACTTACTGTATTGTTCGTCTTTTATAGCTGATTGTATAAGTCCACTCGAACTACACGAATTACCACTTTCAGCTCCACTACAAATATTATTTCCATTAGTATTATTGGATGTGGCAACTAAACTATTGCTATTAAGTTTTGCTTTTTTTTGGATCTTTTTCATTTTTGCTCTTTGATTTTGAAACCAAACCTAGAACATAAATAATTGATTTTGAAATACCTTAAAGTATTCAAAATTAAACTAATACAGTTTAGTTGTCTTGACTCATCATGAAACTAAATTAAATTTTTTACGTAATAAGTATCTGGTATTAGTATACCTACTAACATTTAGACACCTAAAAAATAAGTTGGTATAGTTTTAGTCTTATAAATAGCCAATACTCATTAGGTAATCGAATAGTAAATTAATTTTATATGAATTATAAATATTATAAAGTAAAACATAATACGTATATGGCTTACAAATATTTAAAAACTGTAACATATTTATTTGATAAAACAATAAGATTTAAATTAGTATTTTCGATATCCAAGATATTTAGTACTCAAAACTTAACAATTTGAGCAATCTCTTAAGAAAATGTACAGCATAAACTTGCCTTAATCTTAAATTTAACTTTTTACCATGTGTATTGTGTATAGTTTAGAAAACTATAGTGATATGTTTTGTAGAATTTTGTCAAGTCATTTTAATTTATAAAGTCGAGAAAAAATATGGTACTTATATATTTCAACACAACTAACGATGAACGGAATACAAACACAAATACATAAAATAACTGAAATGTACAAATCGACTTTCTAACAACTACTGAACATTCCACCAATACAAACTCTAATATTAAAAATGTATGAATAATAGTCGAGTATTCCAAAATTAGAATACACCATTAGTTACGTACGTCATGTTATATGAATATTTTTAAAACTTATATTTTAGTCAAAAAGTTTATCAATTAATATTCTTTGTAGGTACCTATAATAATTAAGATTAACAATCTGTACTGTTCAAACCTCAAACCTTAATAAAATATGCTAAATAATATTTTTCTATAGAGTAGCAGTTTATCAATATTTAATTAATACAGATAAAAAATAATCGATCCACTGTATACCTAAAAGATTATTCAAGTGTACCTCCTTTGCCATTGAGTAGGTCACTGCAATTGATGGATTAAATTTGAATTCAGTGACAAATATTTGGATACGAAACGGTTCTGAGTGAAGATTGATGGATCAGTATCTATTTCTAATGTTATTTTATATTATGCTCTTAATATATTTTTGTGATTTGATAGGTTCGACAAATTTTTGCTAAAAACATTGTATATAACTTTACCTATAACTCTAATTCCGACCTACCTATCATGTAGAATGAGAGTTAGTCGTATAAATAACTTAACATTAGGTAGCTTTTCATTATGTATTTAAAAAATAAAAATGTATGTAATGGTGAAAGGTTTAATGCCTCTGTAGTTAATTTATTTAGAAATCCAATAATGATAACGAAATTGAATGAAGAAAAAATCATTATTTTATTTTTAAACGCCCAATAGTTATTCAAGATTTGAATAGCAAACGTTAATAAAAAAAAAAAATGTGTAAATATATTTTTGATAAAACGTTAAAAACATAAGCACGAAAAAATCAATTTAAAAATTGAAATGTTCAAATACCTACAAATAGCACACGAAGATACAAAATATATTTTGTAAATTATATCATGTCTCGAAAAAGTTATTATAAATATTTGGCGATGATCTAAGTCTTTATACTGTTATTTCTTTTTAAACTACAATTAATGCATATAAACATAATTTATTTTGTAGGTATACTGGTGTTGTGAAAATATATTTACAGTTGTTTTTTAAGTTTTTTCCTAATGTTAAGAAAAATTCTAGGATTTTTCTATAAACAAAAAAATCACACATCATTGTATACAATTTTACAATAATTGTACATGTCTTTATTGTATTTTAAATACTAAAATAAACCTATAAATTATAATACTTTATAATTAAAACACAATAGGTGAAGGATTTTTTTGCAGAGTTATATCTAAATGTATTTAGTTCCCCATCCTCTGGACTATTCATAATTTAAATTCTTCTAACCTTAATATAGGCGTACTACTAAGTACAAATATAAAGTACTTGTCCATTAAAAATCAAATAATATACTATATATTATAATAGCTTTTTAATAAAATTAGTTATAGCTATCTGATCCGAGTATCAAATGTATCTCATGCTTACACGAGTACTAGATAACCAACACAAAACACGAACGCCGTTCCAAACGATTAATCACAGTTAACGGGGCAGTAAAAAATCCAAGTGTCTAATACAGACATCACTATTATTCCAGTTTCTTATTTTATGTACCTATTTAACACATATTGTAAAGACAAACCTGGACAATGCGAACACTTAAGCCTGTATCGTGGGCGAGACTTTCTCTAACTTTTCGACACGGTTTTGGACTTAGTTCAAATGATGCTTTAAACGCCCGTCGTTGTTGGGTAGTGAGTATCGTTCTGGGACGTTTAGGTCCACGACGGCCATCATGGTTATAACTCCAATCTCCTGTAATAATATTTCGTATAAAAAAATATAGTAAGAACTTGGAACATTTTAGCCATTGGAGACCCTAACTAGTAATTTAAAAAAAAAGTGATTGCTTTTACAGAAAGATAATTTATTATAAAAAGTGTATTCGACAAGGTACCTAGTACTTCATCTATTTTAATATTACAGATACAAAATATTTCTAATATTATTTGATGTTTGATAATTACTAAGTTAAAATGATGTAATTCGAAGAATCAGTTTTAATTAGATCTTAATTTTGATGCCATTATGCTGAATGATTATGATTTATGGGGTAATTAAAATTTTAAATTTCAATCCATTCGGCTAATGTCTTTCTTAATACTGAAAAAAATTAACAAACCTGTGTTTCGATTGATTTCGTCTCTCATCATGTTCACCTCTTTTTCATAATCTGGACGACAAAATAGCTGAGAGTGCTTGATTACGTACTGATCACCAGTGCATAGACGTATACCGCACACTACACAAACAAAACACTGTTCATGGAAAACGCACTCGCCTGCTCGCATTACCAATTCACCAGCAGCGATATGATCACCACAACTGCCACAACTACGGTATACGCACCTGTAAAACGAAAATTAAATTTATTAAATTTACATTTTATAATAACAATCAGTATTATAGTTTATCTTTTGTTGACGACTGACTACTGAGGAGTCTTGGTAATGTCTGTGAACACCAGTTTGTTCTATTGGTCCAATTCATTCTCTACAGAGTAAAAAAAATCACTTCGCAATAAATAAAACCATAATAAACCTTTATCGGCTGTGTATAATATAGAACTGTGTAAAGCTCATCATTTTTGAAAAAAATGTGTGTATAGTTTAAATTAATCTAGAACTTTGATACCCCATGGTTATTTAAAAAATACTTTTTATGTTTGATGTGTTTCATAATTATTTATAAGTGAATATATAGATCATATTATTTTGTCATAAAGTTTTCGAAATTCTATAAGCCCCTTTAGGTTATAAGTGAAAATATTTTTAATGACTGGTAAAACATTTGGTTTTACGCAGTCAATAATATCTTCATGGTTTTATTTATTTCGAAATATTTTTAATATTTTGCGTTCGAGAATACAAACAATCGGGTTCCTCTCAAACAAAGCATATTATTGCGTATCTTTGAGCAAACATACTTGAAGTCAAAATGGTTGATTGTTTTTTATATTATCATTTTTCTGTTATACTTTAGAGTTTAGATTGTATTTCTTGGTATCAGTTCGATGCGTAACACTAAATATTGACGTATAGAATAAGCTATGATGTGGGATGTCGGATACGGGTGGGGGTTGAGAGCGGTTGTTTTATGATATCTTTAAAAACAATATCTGAGATTTTCGTCAAAATCAATAGAGTAGTTTTTTAGTATATATAAGCATTATAAGCTACAAACATACATTTGGTTTTAAGATATAGTTTCTTTAGTCTAGGTTATGTAAACTTGATGATTTAATGCATGGTTATGGGCACCTCATCTGTCCGAGTAACCAATGGCAACCATTTCTATACAAAAAAAAATATATATTAATTTCCGCGATTACTATAATAATCTGCAACCAAAAAAAAATTTCAATTCCCACCGTGAATTTCAAAATCCTATTGTTTGAGGACCTCCTTAAAATACGAATTTTGGAAAATCCTTCCTTAGTTGGTCTTTACATCATAAAACGAAACTATAGTCCAAATATCAAACTCATAACTCCAGCGGGAACCTAGACTAAGCAATAATTAATCGGTTAGTCATTCAGTACAAGTTATTTTATATATAGATAGATACTAATAAGTACCTAATAAGTACGGTTATCCAGATAACCTATGGTAATAAGTAAATTAATGCAGTATAATACATAAATACATGCAGACATGAACTTGGTATGAATTAAAATTTGTTTGAACTCAACACATTTAAATCGAACGAAATGCATTGGCTATTTGCTTATGAACACAATAATTTAACTATGCAAGTATATCAACGAAAGGTGGGTATGTCTACCAATCATTTTTCTATATTTCATCTGCACAATACAAAATAGCAATATATTATTTCCAGCATTACAGAATATATACCAAAATTTCATTTCGCAAACTATTATTTCTTACTGCACACACATTTCCCATTTGTTTAACCTCAGGCTGCTTAAGGCTTATCATAATAATATGTATGTGTGTGCGTGTACACATAAATAGATAGATAGATATAGAAATGCGTGTACCGCATGTGTGTGTATGTATATACATAAAAGTTATGTCGTTTGATAGGCTTTATAGAAAGCTACAAACATATTCCAAGTATACGCAATATACATAATACATATATTACATATAAATACAAATATGTACCTATATATACATACACGCGCGAACACATATATAGGACTCGCGGGGCTGTAGAGCTATAAAAACAAACCGCCTAATAGACGTATATATATCGGTGGAAGGGGTCCCAAAAAGCAGTCAAAAGTATAGTCGGTGCAACATATTGTTTTTATACATCGCATCATCGCGGATCCCTCCCCATTCATCTGCTCGACGACACTTGCATTATATTTATACGACGTGACGTTTTCACGGTTGTTACGGTAACGGTGGGGGCGACCCATGGAGAGAGAAGGACAATATGTTACAAACAAGTTCTATACTGTCATCCCTCTTTTTTCCCCTCCGATCTAAGGGCACAAATCGCTGTGACCGTCTAATATCTGCACCTGCTCACCACCCCTCTACTTCTTTTTTTTTTCGGTGACGTAAGACGTATGCGTGCACGTGTTACCGCAAAATTCAAGAATAAAATAAAAACGATTTATTTGCACACTCAAACTTATTATACGTGGGTAGGTGTGTGTGTGTGTGTGTGTGTGTGTTATATTTCTATTTTTTTCGTTATGATTTTATCACCGAAACAAACGGCTCCTCCCTTTTTAAGACCGTAAAGAAAAGAGACCGAAAACTTTTAGCCACAAACTGCGCCCGCCAATAAAATAAAAAAAAAAGAAAAGAAAAACTATCAATGCAGCATGTTTTTTTTATATTGACAGTTAGGTTAAACCTCCCCACACTCACAAATAAATTATATTTATATATATATACAATATTATATGATATAAATTATAATATATCGATGTGTGTATAGAAATTATTAATAAATTACTGACTTAATATAATTTTAGTCTTAAACATTTAAATTTGAATGTCATTAGTTAATTTTCTAGGTTGAATCCACCGCAATGATAATTCAGACTACTATTTGGACTATTCAAACTAATTGGAAAATATGAAAAAATTGTATTTAACAATTTATGATATTACAAATTAAAAAAAAAAAATAGTATAACATTTTAAAACTATTAAATTGAATTAGGTACTATTCATGACTCTACGAGTAAAATAGTGATTTGATATTTGATCGTGGACACAAAAACATAAAGGCTTTTATAGTTAAGTTAAGCAAAATGTGTACCTATATGATAAATATTGTCATACAACGAAATTTCCTGCACAATTTCCCAAAACCAGATTAATAGGAAATTGGAAAGTAACGACTTTTGAATTTATAACTAACGTGACATGCTATGTTTATTTATATCGTGACCTATAAATACATTTCTAACATTTCATTCACATTTTTAAGTGGTAATCCATTGTTACATTATATTTCTACCCCTAAATCTTTAGGGTAGTTTAAATTCGATCTTCTATTTATGCTCAATAAATATTAAATTTATAATAATTTTTTTATTACAATAAAACTAGTTGCTATACTACGCTGAAATGATCTGATGAAACTGGCTGCTATACTATTATAACTAATGGAACATGGCCAGTATAAACTTTTTTTTCAAGTCAAATGATTCAATAATTAGTTGTTACATTATGCTAATTGAGAATACTTTTGGAGACCATAAAATTTAATAATTTAAATTGTACACGATAAAATAATATATTTCCAAAGTAAAAAAAATATCTAGGTAATGATAAATAGTTAATATTACAATTTAACAACTAATAAACATGAAAAATAGCAAGTTATGTGAAAATAATACTGATTTGATGATGAATCAAAAATATATATAATTTATCAAGTATATAAATTATGTGTATGTATATTGCACATTACACATAATATAATAACGATTATATTCTAGTATATACATTTTTTTAATACTTAAATAAACTAATAAACAACAACATATTTTTTTCCAGTCACAAAGATTACAGTTTATGGATTTTAAACGAAAATATATATTATACGAATAATAAATAAAATATAATTTTCAAACAAACTTCATAGGTACCTCTTCAATATTATAAAATATTTTATTCATATTAAACATTTTATACAGAACATTTCCGTTTTCCGTGTAAAATTAATTTTGAAAAAAAAATAGTCAAACAATATTTGCTGCAGCAATATATCATGTATGGTGTAGATACCTACATATTATAGTACAAACAGTGGCCAATATATGTAAACGCGTTTAATGAAATTCATACAGCACCCTAGACGTCGAAAGGTCGTATTTATTAATTCGCGTTACGTCAAAAAGGGGTGAAATTCATACGAATCTCAATACAGTATATTATTTATGCGCACACATACCCTATCCGCATACGGTTCTGCGTATTACGCGCGCTACTGTACCTCTCTGTCTTCCTCTAATGGCAATTCAATGATTATAAATGCCTCGCTAGCCATTCCCTGTCAGCCGTTTATTAGCATAAAATATATATATCACCGCCGTATATGTATATACATTTTTTCCTTACATTATTTCCCCTCCGCATATATCGTTTCGATAGTAAAATAATAAAAAAAAAAAAATGAAAAACAATGAGTTCTGCGGTAGCCGAATGTATTGTGACGACAGAGGGGGAGGAGAACGTGACTTCGATTGCGGGAATCCATTCATATATTTATATATACATTTTTATCGCTCCCTTACTATTTATAGGGATTGAAAAAACACGTGTTTCCCGCAAGTAGGGTTGACGGGGGCGTTCGCGGACAGTGTATGTAGGTATATATATATAGTTATATTATGGTAGTGCTACGTCATCGAAACGCAATTCATGGAATTACAGCTTGTAATTGCGTAATTGATCGTTTTTGGATTGACGTTAACGAGACGACTGACAAACTGGCCGAGTGGTTAGGGACCTAAATATTCGACTCATTGATCTGTTAACTAAATTTTCTAAATTCAAGTTTTATATAAATTTTTTACAATACATTATTTGAAATGCATGTAAAAAAATATCTTAATTTGAAACAGTTATTTTATGTGGGTATAATACCTTGTACCTCAAACAGTTAAACCTAATACCTGCGAAAAAAGATCCAAATTTAAGTTACGGAATTTTACACAAAAAAGACATCTACCTTGGACGGAAATGTTTTGGGTTTAAAATACATAATACCTTTTTTAATTAATCTTCAATATCAAATGAAACAAACTCACAGTAAATCGTATTGTTTTTAAATCATAACTCTCGGCCAGATTAATTAGTAAAACCAGAAACTATAGTAAACTTTCAACTTTCATTCAACGCAATAACCTTAGT